GAGTTCAAAAACAAATTCTTCTGAGGTTTTTTTATTTCCCCGCATCAAGATGGAAATCAAACTGTCTGTTTTCTCATCAATCTTTTTGAGAGCTTTTCGAATTTGTAGTCCCGATTCATAGATAGGAAAAAATCCAAAAAAATTTTGAAAAAGGTAATGATTTAAAATACCCCAAAAAATGTTTAAAGGGTAAATCTTTTAAAGTTCCCAGAAAACTTTTTACAATCCCAAAAAAGGGGCAACCAGCGTTATTCAACTAAAAATATGTTTGGGTTTTCCCTTTCCCTTTTAAAACTTGGTTGGGTATGCCTTCCTTCTTTAAAAACTTTTAATATTTAAATTTTTATTCAAAAATCTTGTTTCAGTAAAAAAAAACTTTTGATAAAGAATTCCCCCCCAAAAAACTGATGGTGTGTCTATAAGATTTCCCTTTTTAAAATTTGCGATAAAGTTTATTACGGCAAACTGGGAAAAATCTCCCAAATAAGATTAAAAAAACATAAAAAATAGCATTAGGGAAATGAAAAAAGATTCCAATGCTCTATTTATTCATGTAAAGGGTTTTACCATCCAATTGATTTTTTTAAAAAGTTTGGAAAAAAAGTTTGAATTTAAGCCAAAAATACATGGTTTTACAGGAATATAAATTTAATTTTTGTTTCATAAAAAGCCCGTTTTTCAATAATAAAGAATATTTTCCTTTTTGGGTTTTTATAAATTAATCCATTTTTTAATTAAAAGAATTTTTGGGGAAGGGAAATTTTAAAAATACAATGGACCCAAAAAATAATTTTTAAAATTTTTTTTGGGGAGAATAGTTTGTGGGTGAGTTTTTGCAAAAGGGCCTGTCCAGTTGGGCCGGCGTTTCCTTAAAGGGTTTTAACCGTTGTGGGATCTGATAGTGAGGGTGGGGCCCGACCCCTTAAAATAGCTTTCCTTGGATGCTTTACTTTCATAGTTCCTTGATAAAGGGGAGTAGTCACGAAAACGCTTTTGGGGTTTTTTCTTTTCTTTCAGAGTGGTTGTTTTTTTTAAAATTTTTATATATATTATAATATATATATATATATATATATATATTATATATAAAATATATATATTATTTAATTTATATATTTATGTTTTTTGTATATTCCTTTGGGGGTTTTCCTGGGAGAGGTTCCGGGGGGCAAAGCCCCCCCGGGGCCCGGGCTGTGACCAGGCCTCCTGGGGTCAGAAACCCGATTTAAAAACCCGGCTGTTGCTGCTGGCTGCACGCAAACCAACGTCGACCACAGCCCCCCTGATCAGGAATGGGGCTTTTGGTGCTTGTCCCCGTGCCAGCTTGAAGACTTTCCAGGGGGCTTTCAAAATCCCCCTTATGTTGTGCTCGGAGGCAGTTGAAAAAGTCTCGGGCCCCTGACATTATTGTATGGTCTCAACGTGCCCGTTTACCCCCCACCTTTTTTATTTGGGGGGGTGGTGCATCGTCTGCCAAGTCTTTTGGGTTTCGTAAATGAGTGATTTTCGTGTGGGAAGTTCTGTTTCTTTGTCCCCCTAATTTTCCAAAGGGGTTTAAAAAATCATGTATCTCTCCCTCCCCGCGTTCCCGGGGAAAACAGGTTTAGGGAACCCCAAAACGCTCCCCTAATTGAGGTTTTTTTATCTCCGTTATGCGCGCCCCTGAAAGTTCTCTTTAAAAATTTCTAGGTCGGCAATTTCACCTGCCTTGAAAGGTGCCGTTAGGGGTTTTTAAAAAATACTCCAGCCTAGATAGAACAAGTGACCTGAAGAGTGTCATCATGGCTTGGCCTCCCTAGTTTTGAAGGTTCTCATTATCCATCCTGTCATTTTTCTAGCAATGCGATTGATACAATGTTATGGTCCTTGAAGGTGAGATCCTCCGACATGATCACTCCCAGGTCTTTGACGTTGGTGTTTCGCTCTATTTTGTGGCCAGAATTTGTTTTGTACTCTGATGAAGATTTAATTTCCTTATGTTTACCATATCTGAGTAATTGAAATTTCTAATCGTTGAACTTCATATTGTTTTCTGCAGCCCACTGAAAGATTTGGTTGATGTCCGCCTGGAGCCTTGCAGTGTCTGCATTGGAAGACACTGTCATGCAGATTCGGGTGTCATCTGCAAAGGAAGACACGGTGCTGTGGCTGACATCCTTGTCTATGTCGGATATGAGGATGAGGAACAAGATGGGAGCGAGTATTGTGCCTTGTGGAACAGAGCTTTTCACCGTAGCTGCCTCGGACTTTACTCTGTTGACGACTACTCTCTGTGTTCTGTTAGTGAGGAAATTATAGATCCATCGACCGACTTTTCCTGTTATTCCTTTAGCACGCATTTTGTGCGTTATTACGCCATGATCACACTTGTCGAAGGCTTTTGCAAAGTCTGTATATATTACATCTGCATTCTTTTTGTCTTCTAGTGCATTTAGGACCTTGTCGTAGTGATCCAATAGTTGAGACAGACAGGAGCGACCTGTTCTAAACCCATGTTGCCCTGGTTGTGTAACTGAGGGGTTTTTCTAGATGGGTGGTGATCTTGCTTCTTAGGACCCTTTCAAAGATTTTTATGATATGGGATGTTAGTGCTATTGGTCTGTAGTTCTTTGCTGTTGCTTTACTGCCCCCTTTGTGGAGTGGGGCTGTCTGTTGTTTTTAGTAACTGTGGGACGACCCCCGTGTCCATGCTCCCTCTCCATAGGATGGAAAAGGCTCGTGATAGGGGCTTCTTGCAGTTCTTGATGAACACAGAGTTCCATGAGTTTGGCCCTGGGGCAGAGTGCATGGGCATGTCATTTATCGCCTGTTCGAAGTCATTTGGCGTCAGGATAACATCAGATAGGCTTGTGTTAATGAAATTTTGTGGCGCTCTCATAAAAAATTCATTTTAATCTTCGACTCTCAGTCTGGTTAGCGGCTTGCTAAAAACTGAGTCATATTAGGATTTGAGTAGCTCACTCATTTCCTTGCTGTCATCTGTGTAGGACCCATCTTGTTTAAGTAGGGGCCCAATACTGGACGTTCTTCTCGATTTTGATTTGGCATAGGAGAAGAAATACTTTGGGTTTCTTTCGATTTCATTTATGGCTTTCAGTTCTTCCCGCGATTCCTGACTCCTAAAGGATTCTTTTAGCTTAAGTTCGATGCTTGCTATTTCTCTGACCAGTGTCTCCCTACGCATTTCAGATATATTGACCTTTTAGCCGCTCTGTTATTCTTTTCCGTCGCCTGTAAAGGGAGCGCCTGTCTCTTTCTATTTTACATCTACTCCTCCTTTTTCTTAGAGGAATAAGCCTTGTGCATACATCGAGTGCCACCGAGTTAATCTGTTCTAGGCATAAGTTGGGGTCTGTGTTGCTTAGTATATCTTCCCAGCTTATATCGGTTAGGACTTGGTTTACTTGGTCCCACTTTATGTTTTTGTTATTGAAGTTGAATTTGGTGAATGCTCCCTCGTGACTAGTCTCATTATGTCGGTCTGGGGCTCCACGCATACATGTCTGAACCTCAATTATGTTGTGATCTGAGTATATTGTTTTTGATATGGTGACATTTCTTATCAGATCATCATTGTTAGTGAAGATGAGGTCTAGTGTATTCTCCAGTCTAGTAGGCTCTATTATTTGCTGGTTTAAATTGAATTTTGTGCAGAGATTTAAAAGCTCGTGTGAGTGTGAGCTCATTACCTCTGTACCTAGTTCAGCTATGAAAACTTTGGGGGCCCAGTCCCTGGACCCATTACGTACCTCTGTAATCTGTAAATACCTTTGTAACTTGTCATGATTGTGACCAGACTTACCTGGAGTTCATTACCTTTGTAAATTGTGAGTTCATTACCTTTGTAAATTGTGAGTTCATTACCTTTGTAAATTGTGAGTTCATTACCTCTGTAACTTGCTCAGCTATCAAAACTTTGGAGTCCAGTCCCTGGACCAATTATGTACCTCTGTAATCTTTTGACTGCCGCCCACAGGATGGGTATGGGGTGCATAATAAACATATTAAACAACATATTAAAACTGAGTGTGAGTTTTCATTAGAGCTGCCTCCTGGTGTTATTACTGCAACAATATTATTTGCTATATTCCTCCATTTTAGGTGCCTTAAGTTGAAATCCCCCAGGAGCAAGATGTTGGGTGCAGGAGCTGGAAGATTTTCCAGACAGTGGTCAATTTTTAACAGCTGTTCCTGGAATTGCTGGGATGTTGCATCCGGAGGCTTGTAGACTACCACAATGACTAGGTTTTGGCTCTCGACCTTTACTGCTAAAACTTCCACTACATCATTTGAGGCATTAAGCAGTTCTGTGCAAACAAGTGACTCTGCAATGTACAGGCCAACCCCCCCCCTTTTGCCTGTTCACTCTGTCACATCTGTATAGGTTGTAACCTGGGATCCATATTTCGTTGTCCAAGTGATCCTTTATGTGGGTTTCAGTGAAAGCCGCGAACATTGCCTTTGCCTCTGCAAGCAGTCCACGGGTGAAAGTATTTTGTTGTTTGTTGCTGGCTTTAGACCTGTATATTTGTAAAGAAGAATGTTATCGGACTGGTGGTATTGTTGGTACTTGGGGGGGATTTTTTTTTTCCGGCATTAGTATCTGTATCTGTATAAATATATATATATATAATATATAAAATAATATATATATATATATATATATATAATATATATATATATGGATGGAAACATCGGACGTGTTTCCTTACACCGGTGGTCTATGTTCACCATCAGTAAAATAGGTACCGGGGTGTCAGTAGACTGGTGTGAGTCGCATCCTGGGACAAAACTGACCAAATTTGCCCGAAATGTTTAGCATAAGAAGCGGCTTTCTATATAGTAGTATGTCATTGATGTCAGCTATGACTGTATACCTTGTACATGTACTTGTACTAAATAAAGATATTATTATTATTATTATTATTCATAATTCCCGCCCATATTTTTCCCCTCTGAATTCCTGGGAAGAAGGTCTCAATAAAATAGATTTTGGGGCCCCTTAACAACCCCAAGAACAATAATGTATTCTACCCGACGTTTGTTGTCTGAGCTTCCGTGTACATTAAGTAAATATATTAACTGATGTTTATTTAGTTTAAAATTAATCTTGAGGAGGTCATCATGTTAATATTATCTGGTATGTAATGTAGACAAAATATTTTTTGGATTTCGCTGTTAATCACAAAACTTCCCAAAACGGGTCTTGGTGTTATAATGATAACTACATATAGAAATAAAGATAATAATTATTTCTACATGTACTGTACAAAGTATACAGGCCTAGCTGACATCAGTGACATACTACTATACAGAAAGCCCCTTGTTATGTAGAGAATTTCAGTGACTAACGTGTTATCCTTGGTAATTTACACATATGCTACTATTAAGATGATTATTTTGACAAGTTGTACCGAGGAATAAATTAGTTGGGTGTACGTGCCAAAAAATTATAATTTATGTAACTGTATTTATATATACCTGTACCTGAATAAACTGACTGACTTACAGGCAAATTAAGTTAATTTTGTCCCAGGATGCTACCCACACCAGTCGACTAATACCCAGGTACCCATTTTACTGATGGGTGAACATTGGACAGCAGGTGTCTCAAGGAAACACGTCCTAATGTTTCCAACTGTACCAGGGATCGACCCCTGGACCTCTGCGTGTGAGCCGAGTGTGCTAGTAATTGAATGTAATAGCATCCAAAAATATATATAGCAAATAGCCTAACCTAACTTATCTTCTATGTGCCTTGTCTTAGTGTGACCTTTCTGTCTCCTGAAGCAGCAAACTTATGGTGATGCACCCGTGCTGAAGATTTATTCTGATTATAACCCAGAGTTAATAATCTATGTTAACACAAAAAAAGTCTGTGATTGTGTCATATGTCTGTTATGTTTGTTTTGGCACCCATGTCCAGAATGAGACCCACAACAGTTGGTTAACACCCAATGGAAATAAGTCACTGACTTTTTGGGGGGTTATCCTAGGTAATTTACACTATGTATGATAACTGTAGTTATGTGTACCTGTCCCGTAGCTTGATTGCTAGTGCACTCAGCTCACACACTGAGGTCTGGAGTTTGAATCTCTGATACGGCTGGAAAACATTACCTGGAGTTTACCTGGGTTGTGTTTCCATAAGACACCTGTTGTCCATGTTCACCCATCAGTATAAAATGGGTACCTGGGTGTTAGTTGACTGGTGTATACCTGGAGAGGGTTCTGGGGGTCAATGCCCCCGCTGGGGCATTGTACAATAACTAATGTTATTGTACAATACGTAATCTATTAGTGTTGGGTAGATGTAATTACCATATTACATATGTTTTCAGATTCATATCCAGGTCTCCGTCTCTTTGTAAGTACTCTCACTGGAACACTTGGAGAAAATGAGAATGTTAAAAATGAATTTGTCAATCGCAATCCACGAAATATGGAGATGCTTCGACTCGCTCGTAAGCCACAAGGCTGGGAACTTGAAGATGCGTCACCGAAATATTGGTATAAGTATGTCAAAGTATTTTCTTGTTTTTATTTTAAAATTTTTACACATTTATATTCTCAATACTGGACCACTATGAAAAGGTCCTGCATGCTCTAGAAGACAAACACAATGCTGATATAATATACACAGACTTTGCAAAAGCCTTTGACAAGTGTGACCATGGTGTAATAGTGCACAAAATGCATGATAAAGGAATAACAGGAAAAGTTGGTTGATGGATCTGTAATTTAATAACAAATAGAACACAAAAAGTAGTAGTCAACCGAGTAAAGTCTGAGGCAGCTTCAGTGAAAAGCTCTCTTCCACAAGGCACAGTACTCTCCCCTATCTTATTCCTCATCCTCATATCGGACATAGACAGGGATATAAGCCACAACGCTGTGTCTCCCTTCGCAGATGACACCCGAATATGCATGACAGTGTCCTCCATTGAAGACACTGCAAGACTCCAGGCGGACATCAACCAGATCTTTAAATGGGCCGCAGAAAACATATGCAGTTCAATGATGAGAAATTTCAATTACTCCGATACGGAAAACATGAAGAAATTAAAACTTCATCAGAGTATAAAACAAATTCCAACTACACAATAGATTGAAAAATTAATGTCAATGACCTGGAAGTGATCATGTTAGAAGATCTCACCCTCAAAGACCATAACATTGTATCAATTGCATCTGCTAGAAAAATGACAGGATGGATAATGAGAACCTTCAAAACTAAGGATGCCAAGCCCATGATGACACTCTTCAAGTCGCTTGTCCTATCTAAGCTGGAATATTGCTGCACATTAACAGCACCTTTCAAGGCAGGTGAAATTGCTGACCTAGAAAATGTACAGAGAACCTTCACGGCACGCATAACTGCGAAAAAACACCCCAATTACTGGGAAGTTCCTCAACCTGTACTCCCTAGAATGCAGGTGGGAGAGATACATGATTATATACACTTGGAAAATCCTAGAGAGATTAGTACCAAACTTGCACATGAAAATCACCCTCTATGAAAGCAAAAGACTCAGCAGACGATGCAACATCTCCCAATGAAAAGCATGGGTGCCACTAGCACGATAAGAGAGCATAATAAGTGTCAGGGGCCCAAGACTTTTCAACTGCCTCCCAGCATACATAAGAGGGATTACCACTAGACCCCTGGCTGTCTTCAAGCGGGCACTGGAAAGGCACCTAAAGTCAGTACCTGACCAGCCGGGCTGTAGTTCGTATGTTGGGTTGTGTGGGGCCAACAGTAACAGCCTGGTTGATCAGGCCCTGATCCACCATGAGACCTGGTCACAGACCAGGCTGCAGGGGCGTTGACCCCCTGAACTCTCTACAGGTATATTCCAGGTAGTACTGTGAAGATAACTAGAACCACAATTAATTAATGTTAAACAATAAATTACAATTTACAGATTATATTTCCTCAAAATTTTATTTCCATGTGACTAACATGTTTATGACATACTTTTCTGCTTTTCAATTTCTGGATGTTAACCCTTTGACTGTCGCGGCCGTATATATACATCTTACGAGGTACCGTGTTTGACGTATATATACTCATAAATTGTAGCGGCTTCAAATCAAGAAGGAGAAAGCTGGTAGGCCCACATGTGAGAGAATGGGTCTGTGTGGTCAGTGTGCACCATATAAAAAAAATCCTGGAGCAAGCAGTGCATAATGAGAAAAAAAAAACTCCGACCGTCTTTTTTTAATTAAAATGCCGACTTTGTGGTCTATTTTCGTATGGTATTTATGGTTGTATTCTTATTTTCTTGGTCTCATTTGATAGAATGGAAAACATATTATAGAAGTAGAGGTGATTTTGATTGATTTTACTATAAAAAGAACCTGGAAATGGAGCTCAAAGTAGGAGAAATGTTTGATTTTTGCCAATGTTCAAAAGTAAACAAATGATGTCATTGTCCAATAAATGTCCATCTAGCCATTCTAATATGCAGTCATGAATGAGTTGATGTTATTTATACAATTATTACAGTATTGCAGTAGTCTGCATAATAGTAAGTCTTCTATTTTTTGTTTGAATAAAAATTCAAAATAAAAAGCAAGAGTAATATCAGAGGGCCTGGAGACATGACTGATGAACAAAGAAAATGTTATTTTAGAGCCAGGAATGTCTGCATTGTTCATTCTGGACCTTATTTTGAAATTGTCATATTTTTTAATTTTCGTGAAATTGGCCAAATTGCAAATTTCTGACCACATTAATGGGTAGTTGAAATCGGTAAATGGGCAGTTTCTTGTACTCAATTGATAGAAAAAATGGAGTTCTAAAGAAATAGCTATGAGTTTGGTCGACTGGAACAACGGAATTAGCCAAAAATAGGGCTCAAATTGGGCGAAATCGCCGATTTGTAAATATCGCCGAGGTCGCTAACTTCACGAGAGCATAATTCCGTCAGTTTTCCATCAAATTTCGTTTTTTTTGGTGTCATTACAGTCGGGAAAAGATTCTCTATCATTTCATAAGAAAAAATAATTTTTTTTTTTAAATTTTGCGACACCAGGAGACACCTCAGGATTGGGGGCTGCGACAGTCAAGGGGTTAAAGACTGCTTCACTAGATTTGCTTCAAACTTAAACATATAATGCATATATGCTTTGCCTAAAGTATTATTATGTTTTTGTGTTTGGAATAAACATGCATAGTATGTATAATACATTAACTAGATTTGGTGTAATGCATTATTTTATCATTATAGCCTCCTGTTGTTATTTCATTAAGTGTCCAACATTCAGTTATTATCTCTTTCATCATACTGAAGTACCAAGGTAGACCATTTATACCCATTTTGTTCTTACTCAAAATGGGTCTCTGTTTATATGTAACTGTCTTTCGCTACTTCTTCTGCAAGTAAAGTTATCTGGTTAATTTCATTAAAATTGGATGACAGATGACAATCTTGAGTGTGAAGTATAAAATATAATTTTGCCTATTGATTCTACTTCATATATGCATATTATACAAAAGCAGGCATGCGTGAGCGTGTTTGATAGGAGTGAATGGAGACAAATGGTTTTTAATACTTGACGTGCTGTTGGAGTGTGAGCAAAGTAACATTTATGAAGGGATTCAGGGAAACCGGCAGGCCGGACTTGAGTCCTGGAGATGGGAAGTACAGTGCCTGCACTCTGAAGGAGGGGTGTTAATGTTGCAGTTTAAAAACTGTAGTGTAAAGCACCCTTCTGGCAAGACAGTGATGGAGCGAATGATGGTGAAAGTTTTTCTTTTTCGGGCCACCCTGCCTTGGTGGGAATCGGCCAGTGTGATAATAAAATAAAAAAAAAAACAAAAGTTAGAATTATGCAGAATGCAGATTTTATATACACTTGGTGGCAGGCTGGCAGATGTGGCAACATCATTCAGCAAACTTGAGTTGCCCCACACGAATAGCAATGGCAATTACTGAATAGGCAGCATTCTCACTGGGCACCACAATGCTTCACTGTTGGAAAGGCAAATTACTTCCAGATATTGCCACCCATCATCAAGGAGGTTGTGTATCACATTGAAATCTTGATCTCTGGCCAAGACATAGAGCAACTCATCATTGTCCCAAAGATTGTTTGCTCGAGGGTTGAATGAGGCTGACAGTGCATGAGACACATTGCATAACAGAAATCTGCCTCTTCAACTCTCTCATCTATACTGGCACAAGGCTTCCTTCCCAGAGAGAGTACCATTCAACAACTTGAACCTACTTGCTCTCCTCTGTGAGTTCCCTGAAAACAAACTCAGGGATACAGCCATCAAGTAGTTTTGTCAGCGTATGTGGTACCTCTATATGTACCTAGTGTTGCTTACCTTCTTTCGATCATGTAGATGATGAGATTAAACAGGCCATGGTCAGTAACCTCTCACCTCCATTAAATGCCTCGAAGTAGCAGGATGACAAGGTGTTTAACCCTCTTTCTTCATTGGATGTGTACATCACAAGTGGGTCTTTGAAGATGTTCAGCCTCATCTCTACGAATGGTGCAGAAGTAACTAAGGAGTTTTTGACGAAGGCCTCAACATTGTGACACTTGAACCTTATGTATCAGTTACTCAAGTGCTGAATGAGGCATCTCTCTTGTACAGTCCAACATGTCTGCACTGGCAAAAGATGATACCCAGAAGTAATATATCTTGAGGCTCATCAGCAGGCACCAAAAAAAGTTTCTAGTAGACTAAGACAGTACTGCACAAGAAATAACAGATATTGACTATTCAGAGACTTATTATTTTTTCACACATTCACATACATTAAATGAAATGTAACAGTGGACATAATGTGTGCTTTAATGATAAATATTATGGTGCAATAGTGCAGTTTTTATAAAATACACATGCAAATCACTCTCATTTTGATTTTTTTTTATCAACTGAACACTATAATTTTAATTTTTCAGTTTTCATATATTTCCTGTGAAGGTATGCAGTAATGTGCAAATGCTAGGTACCACTAAAGATTGTCCGATTGGCTGGTTTGTTGAAAGAAGATATTTATATTTCAACATGTGATATGGATAGCCTTGTGGAGAAAGATATTTTTAACTTTCAATTTTTTGGGGCGATCCTAAATTATTGATCACCTAGTATGCCTAAAGCATTGCTCCATGGGGAAGTGGAGAAGAATCCTTCTCCCGTAAGCCATGCATTACATACGAGGCAACTAAAATGCCAGAATCAAGGGGCTAGCAACCCCTTCTATATAAATTTACTCAGTGTAAAAAGAAGAAAAACTTTCATTTCTTCTTTTTTGGGTCACTTTGCCTTAGTGGGAGATGGCCGATGTGTTAAAAAAAAAACTTGTATGACAAGAGACATTTCCTTGCTACCGTCAAAGGTATAGCACAAGTTCACTGTTGAAATTACAAAGTTTCTGTGCAGAAACGACTCTAAAATAATTCTCCACACATAGTGGTAGATAGCTGAAGTGATAATCGAGAATAGGTACTGTAGTATGTATGTGCTACAACTACTGTCACTGTAAGTTCCAAAATGTACGGTATTTAAAATGCTAAATTTTGAAGATTGGACACCCAAACTTACACTATGTGATAGGCAATTGTACACTAAATTTTTATTAAAAAGTAATATATTTGTTGTGTTTTAGTCATAATATTTTAACAAGCATAATAGAGTAACCTACATATTTACATTTCACTTTTTTAGACTGATTCTGGACCAGAGTAATCGTCATGTTACGGGTCAGATTGTACACCACACAGGGACTGCTGTAGTCTCTGCTTCAACACGAGAATGGGCCATTAAACTGCAACTGTACTCCACCGCAGATGTTAATGCTGTAAAAAATATTGGGCGTATTTTAGCTCAAAGGTGCTTACAGTCTGGGATTACGGAAGTTTATACTGAGCTTGAAAAGTTCAAGGACTCCTCTGAGAAGGTGAGACACTTAGTAGTCTACATATTTGAAAAAGGGGTTCATATGAATAAAGTTATATCTTAAGTAGAATAATCAGCATGGTGTTGTGAAGTTGTGCTAGTGGGAGTGGCATGGGAGCAAGTTATAGAGGGTATGAAAATGAGCTGTAGAGGGTATGGGAGCAAGTTGTGGGAAGCTTATAGGGGTAAAATGAAGGGGTGAGGGAGTGAGTTGTTGAGATATGGAATGTGTGTAAGAATTTGACGGGTGTGGGGGCTGAACTAAACAGTTGTGGGGTGAATAAGTGTAATATATTGAGGTGTAAGTATTGTATGTAGGAATAGATGAGTAACAAGCCTAGAAGGTAGCTGAACCCCATCAGAAAGTCAAGTTAAAGGACCAGAAACTAAATTTTACCCCTTTCTTGAGCAGTATACCCAAGAGCCAGAGCTCAACCCTTTAACTCTTAATGGTAGGAGCCATAACAGTCTTGCTATGAGCAGTTTATTAAAGTATAAAAAATAAAAACTGAATGCAGTTTAACAATAAAAAGATAAAAACTTACTTTTTTAGTGCTAGGCACATTTGTGCCTAGCACTAAATTGTTTTTGCTTTCTTATTATTAACAACCGTGATCTTTGTTTTTGCTGTGTTTATGAATTTACATTGTTTACAAGAGTTTTATATCATTAAATGTGTTTCAGGGTGTGGTAGTGTATGAGACATGCATAGTGCTACATTACACATCCTCCAGTTGTCTTGATTTTCTAAGTGTGTGACAACACAACATTTTCTGGGCAGTTTTCTTCTCTGAAGCCAGAATAGTTTCAGGAAAATCTCTAACATGCTTCAGTCGAAGTGATGTAGGCATGGTTTTACAAAGGGGCGTTCCTGTCTTATGAATTTAGTAACTTTCTTCACTAAGGTATTTGAGGAGGTAGATCATGGTATTGAATATGATATTATGTATATGGACTTCAGTAAGGCTTTTGATAGAATTCCACATCAGAGGCTCTTGAGGAAACTTAAGGCACATGGAATAGGAGGAGAAATTTTTTCCTGGGTTGAGGCATGGTTGACAAATAGGCAGTAGAGTTTGCATAAGTGGGGAGAAATCGGAATGGGGGCACATCACAAGCAGTGTTCCACAGGGGTCAGTGTTGGGCCCCTTGTTCACAATCTACATAAACGACATAGATGAGGGAATAAATAGCGACATGAGCAAATTTGCTGACAACACCAAAATAGGCTGTCCAATTCATTCTAATGAGGACATTAGAGCACTCAAGGATGATTTGAATAGACTGATGCAGTGGTCGGAGAAGTGGCAGATGCAGTTTAATATAGACAAATGCAGAGTTCTAAATGTTGGACAGGAAAATAACCATGCCACATATACCTGGAGTTTACCTGGAGAGAGTTCCGGGGGTCAACGCCCCCGCGGCCCGGTCTGTGACCAGGCCCCCTGGTGGATCAGAGCCTGATCAACCAGGTTGTTACTGTTGGCTGCACGCAAACCAACGTACGAGCCACAGCCCGGCTGGTCAGGAACCGACTTTAGGTGCTTGTCCAGTGCCAGCTTGAAGATTGCCAGGGGTCTGTTGGTAATCCCCCTTATGTATGCTGGGAGGCAGTTGAACAGTCTCGGGCCCCTGACACTTATTGTATGGTCTCTTAACGTGCTAGTGACACCCCTGCTTTTCATTGGGGGGATGTTGCATCGTCTGCCAAGTCTTTTGCTTTCGTAGTGAGTGATTTTCGTGTGCAAGTTCGGTACTAGTCCCTCTAGGATTTTCCAGGTGTATATAATCATGTATCTCTCCCGCCTGCGTTCCAGGGAATACAGGTTCAGGAACCTCAAGCGCTCCCAATAATTGAGGTGTTTTATCTCCGTTATGCGCACAGTGAAGGTTCTCTGTACATTTTCTAGGTCAGCAATTTCACCTGCCTTGAAAGGTGCTGTTAGTGTGCAGCAATATTCCAGCCTAGATAGAACAAGTGACCTGAAGAGTGTCATCATGGGCTTGGCATCCCTAGTTTTGAAGGTTCTCATTATCCATCCTTTCATTTTTCTAGCAATGCGATTGATACAATGTTATGGTCCTTGAAGGTGAGATCCTACGACATGATCACTCCCAGGTCTTTGACGTTGGTGTTTCGCTCTATTTTGTGGCCAGAATTTGTTTTGTACTCTGATGAAGATTTAATTTCCTCGTGTTTGCCATATAGACTAAATACAGTTGAACCTTGACTTACGAGTGTCCCAACTTACGAGTTTTTTGAGTTACGAGCCGTCCCTGGGTCGATTTTTTGCTCCGAGTTACGAGCCAGCTCCCCCATCCCTCTTCCCCCTCAACCCAAAACCTGGACACCTTGCTTGTTTATCTATGATTTCATGCTTTAGTTCCATTTAAATCATTCTCTTTTTCATCGCAGCAATAATAATAATATAATATTATTACAGTCAAGCCACTCAGTAAGTCAGTCAAGTCATTCAGTAAGTCAGTCAGTCAGTCAAGTCATTCAGTAAGTCAGTCAAGTCATTAAGTAAGTCAGTCAAGTCATTCAGTAGTAAGTCAGTCAAGTCACTCAGTAAGTCAGTCAATTCATTCAGTAAGTCAGTCAGGTCACTCAGTAAGTCAGTCAAATCATTAAGTCAGTCACTCATTAAATTAGTCAAGCCACTCTGTATCATGTTCAAATTAATAAATAAATAAATAAAAGTCATTCAGTAAGTCAGTCAAGTCACTCAGTAAATCAGTCAAGTCACTCAGTAAGTCAGTCAAGTCATTCAGTAGGTCAGTCAAGTCATTCAGTAAGTCAGTCAAGTTATTCAGTAAGTCAGTCAAGTCATTCAGTAAGTCAGTCAAGTCATTCAGTCAGGTCATTCAGCAAGTCAGTCAAGTCATTCAGTAAGTCAGTCAAGTCACTCAGTAAGTCAGTCAAGTCACTCGGTAAGTCAATCAGTCATTCAGTAAGTCAGTCATTCAGTCAGTCACACCAACTCATGTTAACCTTTTTTTCTGTGTACATGGGTCCTAGTGATCTACTGCAGTTTGCCTCAAAAATACTCCATTTTCTCTTACAATAAGAACATGGGAAGATACTATAGTCAAATTGGGACAGAAATGGCAGACGCATCTACCGCTGGTGCTGCCTCTGCCACCATGTTATGGCCTATTTTATTCATTCTAGAGTATATGTCATGTTTCTGTGCTAATTATATTGTTTATTATGTCATATTCGATGAATTGTGATAGATAAATAAGCTGTACAGTTAATAACAGCGTCATATTCAAGTATTTTTCTCATCTCTCCAGAGTGCAGGAATTAATGGCTTTTCAGTTAATTTGAATGAGGAAAATTAATTTGATATACGAGTAAATTGAGTTACGAGCTAGCTCATGGAACGCATTAAACTTGTAAGTTAAGGTTCCACTGTAATGTAGATCTTAATATTACAGATTGCGAAAAGGATTTAAGAGTTCTGGTTAGTAGTAATCTAAAACCTAGACAACAGTGCATTAGTGTTTGCAATAAAGCTAACAGAATCCTTGGCTTCATAGCAAGAAGTATAAATAACAGGAGTCCTCAGGTTGTTCTTCAACTCTATATATCTTTGGTTAGGCCTCATTTAGATTATGCTGCACAGTTTTGGTCACCATATTACAGAATGGATATAAATGCACTGGAAAACATACAAAGGAGGATGACAAAGTTGATCCCATGTATCAGAAATCTTCCCTGTGAGGATAGACTGAGGGCATTGAACCTGCACTCTCTAGAAAGGTGTAGAATTAGGGGGGGATATGGATATTAAATTGGGAAGGAGGAGTATGGAAGAAGTGAATGTTTTCAGATACTTGGGAGTTGACGTGTTGGCGGATGGATTTATGAAGGATGAGGTTAATCATAGAATTGATGAGGGAAAAAAGGTGAGTGGTGCATTGAGGTATATGTGGAGACAAAAAAATATTATCTATGGAGGCAAAGAAGGGAATGTATGAAAGTATAATAGTACCAACACTCTTATATGGGTGTGAAGCTTGGGTTGTGAATGCAGCAGCGAGGAGGCGGTTGGAGGCAGTGGAGATGTCCTGTCTAAGGGCAATGTGTGGTGTAAATATTATGCAGAAAATTTGGAGTGTGGAAATTAGGAGGTGTGGAGTTAATAAAAGTATTAGTCAGAGGGCTGAAGAAGGGTTGTTGAGGTGGTTTGGTCATTTAGAGAGAATGGATCAAAGTAGAATGACATGGAGAGCATTTAAATCTGTAGGGGAAGGAAGGCGGGGTAGGGGTCGTCCTCGAAAAGGTTGGAAGGAAGGGGTAAAGAAGGTTTTGTGGGCGAGGGGCTTGGACTTCCAGCAGGCGTGCACGAGCGTGTTCGATAGTGAATGGAGACGAATGGTATTTGGGACCTGACGGTCTGTTGGAGTGTGAGCAGGGTAATATTTAGTGAAGGGATTCAGGGAAACCAGTTATTTTTATATAGCCAGACTTGAGTCCTGGAAATGGGAAGTACAATGCCTGCACTCTTAAGAAGGGGTTTGGGATATTGGCAGTTTGGAGGGATATGTTGTATATCTTTATACATATATGATTCTAAGCTGTTGTGTTCTGAGCACCTCTGCAAAAACAGTGATTATGTGTGAGTGAGGTGAAAGAGTTGAATGATGATGAAAGTATTTTCTTTTTGGGGATTTTCTTTCTTTTTGAGTCACCCTGCCTCGGTGGGAGACGGCCGACTTGTTAAAAAAAAAAAAATGATTGAGGTGTATAAATGGAAAACAGGAATTAATAAAGGGGATGTAAATAGCATGCTAAAAATATCTAACATATACAGGACTCGCAGCAGTGGCTTTAAATTGGAAAAATTAAGATTCATGAAGGATATAGGAAAGCACTGGTTTGGTAATTGAGTTGTGGATGAGTGGAACAAACTCCCGAGTACCGTCATAGACGCTAAGACGTCGTGTAGTTTTAAAAATAGGTTGGATAAATACATGAGTGGGTGTGAGTTGGACCTGACTAGCTTGTGTTACTAGGTCGGATGCACTGCTCCTCCCCTAAGTGACGTGTCTGACCTCACTAGGTCAAGGCATTGGCTTAAGCCGGTGGGAGAATTGGAGCTGCCTCGCATAGGCCAGTAGGCCTGTTGCAGTGTTCCTTCTTTCTTGTGTTCTTTGTTATGTTGGCATGCCTGATGTCACATCATGATGTTGGCCTTTTTTTAATGCTTCAGATTGTTATATTAAAGCCAATATCTGCTGTTCTGTTGTCAGAGTCATTTAAGTGCTGCTGCTGTATCAGTTTGAGACATAATAACCATCTCATGTGGTGCAGATGTTTGTTACTCTTGCTTTCACTAGAATTAACACTTTCACTTCCAGTTGGAGGTGAATACAGTTAACAGTCTCTTAACACTTGTAAAAAAAAAAAAGGTACAGTTCATAAAGTTTAAAAGCAATTTAGAGATTTTTAACCTTAAACTTTTGTAATTATGGATGTTTTCTTTGCTTGTAGACCTGATGATGAAAATAGAAATTTCACGAGGTTTTGTCAATAATAATGACCTCACTTGCTCTCATGTTGATTCTACTATTTATAATTTGCTTTTGTATTTATATTGTGAGTTAGTCTGTTGTTAATATCTCATAACCCGTCTTGAAGATTTTTTAATTTATAAAATTGGGTTTTTAAGATTTTGCCTAAAATCAGACACTTAACACTTGCTTTTAGTGAATGTAAAACGAAAGCCTGTAATTGTTTTACATGATGGTAGGATTGCTGGTGTCCTTTTTTTCTGTCTCATAAACATGCAAGATTTCAGGTACGTCTTGCTACTTCTACTTACACTTAGGTCACACTACACATACATGTAAAAGCATATATATACACACCGCTTTGGGTTTTCTTCTATTTTCTTTCTAGTTCTTGTTCTTGTTTTTTCCTCTTATCTCCATGGGGAAGTGGAACAGAATTCTTCCTCCGTAAGCCATGCGTGTTGTAAGAGGCGACTAAAATGCTGGGAGCAAGGGACTAGTAACCCCTTTTCCCGTATAAATTACTAAATTTAAAAAGAGAAACTTTCGTTTTTCTTTTTGGGCCACCCTGCCTTGGTGGGATACGGCCGGTTTGTTTGAAAAAAAAAAAAAAAAAACACTTGCTTTTGGGTAACATCATGCACTGTACTGTATAGTCACAATGTTTAATAAACTCTGGACAGGTTATATGAAGGTACCTCTTTTGGAGATATAATTAAGAAAGAATCAGGAAACAGTTCTATATAAAGTCAGTCACAATTATTTCCTTCTTGAGATATGTTGAGATGGGGTAAAGGGGTTATTGTAGACCAAGGGTACCCTATGTTATTACTCAGAGATCAGTTTTTTTAAATATTTACATGTCAGTACTCTTGTGATAATGTAGCGTTTTTTGTTGTTGTTTCATTGCAGGTTCGTTGTTTCTTGTTAGCTGTGACAGAAGGAGGTGTTTGCCCAAAAGAAGCTCCTGTTATACATGAGAATGATGTACAGAGATGGGCCTGGTCTCACCCAACATTACCCTGGCATATGCCAGAGGAAGAGGCACTTAAAACCGAAGAACAGGCACTTAATTAAGAAGAACAGGCACTTAAAGCAGGAGAAAGTAGAACAGTAGAGTTGTATATCATATGGGCAAAATTTATATACTAATATGAATAATTTGCAGTGTGTGTAGTCACAGTTGGAAAAATCTTATTAGGCATGCATGGTACAGTAGTTAATGCACTGGCCCGCTAGTTTTGGATTTAAATCACACCTACTCTGAATTATTTACATAGCAAGGCATGACCTCTTGAGATTGAATTTTCCAGTTTAATGAAAAAATACACCATTAATTAAAAAAATTCTATCTTTTGGGGGGATAGGAGTTAATTTTCACAGGGTAAAAGTTTTTAAGCCCAGTTACATATCTATTTCACCTGTCTTAAAAACTGTAATTCAGTTTGATTACTATCTAGCATCAGACAAATACTTAGCTTGCCTGATTGAAAATTATGTTTGTAGTTATTAACACAACCAGCACAAAGGCCAAGAATACATAAATACTAATAGTCGTGTTCCTCAAAATTATAATAAGATTTTTTCATTAAAATACATTTATTATACCCTGTAAATATTGATTGAAATAAAGTATCTTTAATGAGTTGACATACTGTTGTTTATCCAAATACGAAAGTAATATATGATGTTTGCAACACTAGATACTGTACATGCTCCACTCGTTACAGGCACATAATTTTTTGATGATCTGTGTTAAAGTTGAACTAGGGAAGTAATGTCAAATGATAGCCAGCACTGCTGACAAATCACATGGTACATTGTATTGAAGTTTTTGTTTAATGTCCTTATCAATCAGTAAGAGATTAACTTATCCACATTATAGGTGTAGGAACAAGATGATGCATTTCTCACTTGATGTACTTTATTAGGAGAATTTTTTAACAATTAAATTTCGTATGCAGTAATCCTTTGATATTTGTGGCTTTACATTGTATAGGTCATAATCAATAATTCACATTGCTAAACTCACAAATTATGATGTAGTCACTTAGCCTTAATACCATAATCTGTAAGGATTTAATGTTAAGAATTAATCTAAGTCTGCTCGAAATGCCTAGCCATGCTAGGTGTCCTAGTGGCCCCCTCTGTAATTAGTATTTTATAACATGTAAACCACAAAATACCCAAAACCTGTAAACCCCACATTGTAACCATTGTAGAGAATAAAATTGAACTGAATTGAATTGAATGTCTCTGCACTGAGGCCTGGTCGTGGACCAGGCCACGGTGGCGATGGCCCCTGGGATTCCCTCCATGAGAAATTTCAATTACTCCGATATGGTAAACACGAGGAAATTAAAACTTCATCAAAGTACAAAACAAATTCCGGCCACAAAATAGAGCGAAGAACCAACGTCAAAGACCTAGGAATGATCATGTCGGAGGATCTCACCTTCAAGGACCATAACATTGTATCAATCGCAGCTGCTAGAAAAATGACAGGATGGATAATGAGAACCTTCAAAACTAAGGATGCCAAGCCCATGATGACACTCTTCAGGTCGCTTTTTCTATCTACGCTGGAATATTGCTGCACACTAACAGCACCTTTCAAGGCAGGTGAAATTGCTGACCTAGAAAATGTACAGAGAACCTTCACGGCGTGCATAACGGAGATAAAACACCTCAATTACTGGGAGCGCTTGAAGCTCCTGAACCTGTATTCCCTGGAATGCAGGCGGGAGAGATACAGGATTATATACACCTGGAAAATCCTAGGGGGACTAGTACCAAACTTGCACACGAAAATCACTCACAACAAAAGCAAAAGACTTGGCAGATGATGCAACATCCCCCCAATGAAAAGCAGGGGTGTCACTAGCACGTTGAGAGACAATACAATAAGTGTCAGGGGCCCGAAACTGTTCAGCTGCCTCCCAGCATACATAAGGGGGATTACCAACAGGCCCCTGGCAGTCTTCAAGCTGGCACTGGACAAGCACCTAAAGTCGGTACCTGACCAGCCGGGCTTTGGCTCGTACGTTGGATTGCTTGCAGCCAGCAGTAACAGCCTGGTTGATCAAACTCTGATCCACCAGGAGGCCTGGTCACAGAGCGGGCCACGGGGGCGTTGAACCCCGGAACTCTCTCCAAGTAAATCCAGGTAGACTTCTGGCAAGAGCTTATGAGTGAAGGTTGGTTACCCTTCCTCAATGGGAGATGGCTGGCATGCTAAAAAGATGGCATTTATACAGCTGAATAACACTGCAACATTCCTTTAAGCAAAATACACTAGTGTTAAAAGTTTGATGTTCCTTAGCATAAACATTCTCCAATCATTACACGTAAACCAATAATCCCTACTAATTATGATACATTAGGGCCAATATACCAACTTTATTAAAACAAATTAGGATATGGATTTCAGTGCAAAAACTTTAGACATATACCTCTTTTGATTGACTTCAAACTCTCAACATTAGTATAATGGATTTACTAGAAAGTCTGTATTGGTTTTGGGCTGTACAGGGCCATCTTACCAGTTTTTTTGAACAATGGAAATAAATGGTATAAAATACCAACACAATGAAATATAAACACATATGCAGTATAATGTGATCCTTTATTGACTACGTTTTGCCCACACAGTGGGCTTTTTCAAGTCACAAACAGATCTAAGGTCTAGATCTAGATCTGTTTGTGACTTGAAAAAGCCCACTGTGTGGGCGAAACGTAGTCAATAAAGGATCACATTATACTGCATATGTGTTTATATTTCTTTATTGAACAAACTGGGATATTGGTTTTCATGTGTTAGCTTGAAAATGGCTCTTTGTATAGGCTTCAGACTTTCAATGCTGGTGTATCAAACTTATAAAATGGGTAATAGTTTTAATGAGCATTGTAAGTGCCAGTTTTATTAAACAAAATTTGGGATATCATGCTTATACTTCTGGGGCATAAAGGAATTGAGTATCAAGCTGAAAACTGAACTGGAAATCATACCATCTTAATTCTGGACTATATTACTTTTTATGCAGTTTCCTTTAGCTGTTTAGGAAATACTACTAAGTTTTTATCATATACCTAACAACTATCTCAATTCAAGCATTAAATTAAATTTTTTTTGAAATGCTATGCTCTAGCACATCCTGCAAAGAACAACCACCATGAGTTTCATATAGATCTATTGGATTCTGTGATATGCTGGAGAAACTAACACCTCCTAAATATCATTCTCGTCTCATTTACATAAGGAGGGATTACCAATAGACCCCTGGCAGTCTTCAAGCTGGCACTGGACAAGCACCTAAAGTCGGTACCTTGGTTTGCTCGTACGTTGGTTTGCGTGCAGCCAACAGTAACAGCCTGGTTGATCAGGCTCTGATCCACCAGGAGGCCTGGTCACAGATCGGGCCGCGGGGGTGTTGACCCCCGGAACTCTCTCAGGTAAACTCCAGGTAATTCCCTGGGTCTCTAATTTAATGACCTGCAATTCCTGTGCTGCTTGATAGTGTATGTATCCAGCATCTCTGCCTCTTGATATTAAGCTGCAGATGCTGGGCAGAATGAGAGCGTCAGAGAAAAATTTCTGGGCCTCTAAAAGGTATTAGTATTCATCCCCTGGACTTCTTGAGGGTGTTGAGTTATAACTGATAGATTTCTTGAGGGAGTTGCAATGCAGCTTCTTTGACTCTTAAAGGCTTTGAGGTACTGTTAATAGGACTCATTTTAAGTGCATTGAGGTAAAGGGGCTGAGATTAAAGGATACCTTTTGGATCACACAGTGACTTGAGAGCATTTAACTACAAGGTCTAACTATTCACACATCCTGCATCATTATGTACTTGTATTTAACCCTTAAACGGTCCAAACAGATCGACGTTCAAATTCGTATTGCTACAAAAGTATTTTCAATTTTTTTTTTTTTTTTTCAACAAGTCAGCCGTCTCCCACCGAGGCAGGGTGACCCAAAAAAGAAAATCCCCAAAAAGAAAATGCTTTCATCATCATTCAACACTCTCACCACACACATAATCACTGTTTTTGCAGAGGTGCTCAGAATACAACAGTTTAGAAGCATATACGTATAAAGATACACAACATATCCCTCCAAACTGCCAATATCCCAAACCCCTCCTTTAAAGTGCAGGCATTGTACTTCCCATTTCCAGGACTCAAGTCCGACTATATGAAAATAACCGGTTTCCCTGAATCCCTTCACTAAATATTACCCTGCTCACACTCCAACAGATAGTCAGGTCCCAAGTATCATTCGTCTCCATTCACTCCTATCTAACACGCTCATGCACGCTTGCTGGAAGTCCAAGCCCCTCACCCACAAAACCTCCTTCAAATATATCCTTCAAATATAACCAAAAAAAATGCAGACAAAAGCTTTTTTTTACACATTTTCAAATGTAAAACAAAAAAGAAGATCTACATTTTTTTACATACTTTCAGATGTTGAAAAAATGTATATATACGTTTGAACCATTTAAAGGTTAAAAAATTCAGAAATTATGAGATGATTAAATTACAAACTTTTAAGAAATGTTTAAATATTTCATTCACAGTGACTATCAACAATTATGGAAAAATTCCCTAACCTAGATTATTATTAATAACTTAGTCACTGTAACTTCCTCAATCAATACAACTCCATTGCCAGTTCCTTGGTCTAGTACCTGTGGCTGCAGGGGTTGGATATCGTCTCCTGGACCTGCCATTTGACTAATAAATGGTAACAGGAAATGACATAATTTTTGTCGAGTGTCTATTACCTGGAGTTTACCTGGAGAGAGTTCCGGGGGTCAACGCCCCCGCGGCCCGGTCTGTGACCAGGCCTCCTGGTGGATCAGAGCCTGATCAACCAGGCTGTTCCTGCTGGCTGCACGCAAACCAACGTACAAGCCACAGCCCGGCTGATCAGGAACTGACTTTAGGTGCTTGTCCAGTGCCAGCTTGAAGACTGCCAGGGGTCTGTTGGTAATCCCCCTTATGTGTGCTGGGAGGCAGTTGAACAGTCTCGGGCCCCTGACACTTATTGTATGGTCTCTTAACGTGCTAGTGACACCCCTGCTTTTCATTGGGGGGATGGTGCATCGTCTGCCAAGTCTTTTGCTTTCGTAGTGAGTGATTTTCGTGTGCAAGTTCGGTACTAGTCCCTCTAGGATTTTTCAGGTGTATATAATCCTGTATCTCTCCCTCCTGCATTCCAGGGAATACAGGTTTAGGAACCTCAAGCGCTCTCAGTAATTGAGGTGTTTTATCTCCGTAATGCGCGCCGTTGAAAGTTCTCTGTACATTTTCTAGGTCGGCAATTTCACCTGCCTTGAAAGGTGCTGTTAGTGTGCAGCAATATTCCAGCCTAGATAGAACAAGTGACCTGAAGAGTGTCATCATGGGCTTGGCCTCCCTAGTTTTGAAGGTTCTCATTATCCATCCTGTCATTTTTCTAGCAGATGCGATTGATACAATGTTATGGTCCTTGAAGGTGAGATCCTCCAACATGATCACTCCCAGGTCTTTGACGTTGGTGTTTCGCTCTATTTTGTGGCCAGAATTTGTTTTGTACTCTGATGAAGATTTAATTTCCTCATGTTTACCATATCTGAGTAATTGAAATTTCTCATCATTGAACTTCA